GAAAACAAAAAATATATTTGAGGAGAACTTTATAATCTTCTGACAATAAACTTCTAGATTTTCAAGTCCTTTTATACTTTTGCACGATATTTTAGTTTTAGTCAGATGCATGTAATCATGTGAAAGAGTCATTTTCCTACCCTATAAAACATATATATTCTTGATCAGCATTAACAGGCGAATCTTTCTAGCCATGTCGGGAGGAAAACTAAATGTTTGCCATTTTTTCAAAAATATATAAGGGATTACATCATTAAAATTAGTAAAAATCAAAAATTGTGATTTTTTTAAATTTTATATCGATATGAGATATGCAGATTTATTAAACTTAAAAAAACTAACACAGGAGTGGTTTCTGAATTGAAATTAATGCATTTTATACGTAGTTATGCAATTTGCAAAGTTTGATTGTCTCAAAAAAATATTAAAAATGTATGAATTTATAACTACTAATGAAAGAATAATATAACATGTTTATGATATAATAATATAATATGTAAAAGATATAATTGTCATGATTAGGACTTACCCCAGTGGAGGCCACGTCATTGTTTACTTCCTTCCTGTATAGTTTTATATTCGGGGTGACTTTAATCAGGGTAATCGTCGTATCGAAGATCACTTCCTGTTTATCCAGTTGCATTCCATTGGCCACGTCATTCTTTTAAGGTCGAAGGGTAATCACAATCACTATCACTATCGATGTTAACACTAGGTACCCCTAGGACAGACTGAGCTCGCGGCGATCGAATTGCCTCTATTTATACTTCCCGATCGGAGATAACAGAGAAAGAGAGCGAGAGGGAATGAGCTACCTCTGTAGCTGCAACAGAGAGAGATAGAGCATAAGCGCCTTCTCTGGAGCTGCAACAGAGGGAGGCAGGCATACCATACATATTGTGAGTAAGAAAGAGAGCGAGAGTGAGGGAGGCAGAGGCTTATAGAGGCATAAAGAAAGAGAGGGCGAGAGTGAGCTATTCAGATTTATAAATATATGCATATGTATTAACCTTAAAATAACTATCACAGGAATTGAATTGAAATTAATGCATTTTTGACGTAGTTATGCAACTTGTAATCTAAAAACCACTTTTATTTTTACAACTATTATCTTTGCGGTATGCAGATTTATTAACCTTAAAAACTTAACCCAGGCTCGCTTTTTGAATTAAAACTAATGCATTTTTCACTTAGTTATGCAATTTGTAAACTTTGATTGTCCCAAAAATATATTTAAAAATTTATGAAATGAAAATGGCGATTTCAAGAATCTTGCTGAGGAAAATATAATTTTAATCAGCGAAGGAGTCACTTCCGACCCTACAAATCACATATATTCTTGATCAGGATTAATTAATTAATTAATTAATAAGCAAAAATTTACATATTTTTAAAATTTTAAAATGGGCTTGCAGATTTATTACCACAAGAATAACTAACATGTTTCCGCTTTTCGAATTGAAGTTTAAGCTTGTTTGGTTTGACTATGAGTTGTTTTTTATTTTGATTTTATCAAAAAATTGCCAAATAATTATACCGTTGAAATGCTGATTCAAAGAAAGCGAATACTTGAATTTCCAATTCTATAATTCAATTGCAACCTGCAAGAGTATATTAACTTGCAGCTTCCCAAAGTTTAGTCTCCTCTCTTGTTTATTTCATTCGTAAAACCAATTTATTTTTCCCTGGTGATCTTTTCGTTGCTGAGAATGTTCACAAATTATTCGATAATAGAAAATCAAATTGCAACAAATTCGCACACAATTGCAACAAAATAGAGAGTGCAAAAAAAAAAAGAAAAGAATAGAACAAAAAACAATGTGAGAAATACTGAAGATGCGACCGAAAAATAAAGTGAATGCCATCAGGAAGACGCCATTGCGTCAGTTCGATTTACCCCTATTTTTACTTGGGGATTCAAAAGGGGGGAATATGGGTAGGTTTTTAGTCTAAAGGGCAACAATGTTGTCGCATTTGTAACTGTCTTGCAGGGGTTTCTCTTTCACTCTGATGTCCTTTCCACACAGAGGAAAAATATACAAAACAAAGATTTATACAAGAAATTAACATGATTTTAAGGGTAATCTACATTCAGGGGTTTAGAAAATAAATATATACATTTCCAAGAATTTTTTGGTTTATATATTTATATATGATTACAAAAGCTTTTATCAAAACAAGCAACCTTTGAGTTAGCTATCACTTTTATTTCTTAATTTTTTACCATACTTGTTTTCAATACATATGTATATTTTCTTGCTGTGCTGCCGGCAGATGCAACACTTTGCTGCTTGTGGAAAATTGTGCGGGGGAAAAGGGCTTTTCCTTCAAGCACATGCAGCGAGTTAAAGAATTCCAATCAGCAGGGCCATTGTTCTTGAGACATTCGCCCAGCAAAATTGAAGATAATTGAAGTGTAAAACGTTGAGAGCGGAAGTGCAGCAGTCAGCAAAGGGGTTTTGCTGCTTTCCCCGGGAAAACTCTGTCTCTCTGTCTGCCTACCCACATCCCTTTTGTTGTGTTGTTGTTTGTGCTGATGTCAAGGCATATTATGCAATACAATTTTGGCAACTGAGGCGACCGCCTTTTGTCCCACCGATTCCCTCCCCTTAAGTCAAACATTTTTGAGTCACGTCTGTCGTCTGTCGAATGCGGAAATGATGAGACAAAAGAGACAAGGACACACACACACCACAGACAGACAGGACGCAAGGACAGGCACAGGCACAGGCACAGGCAGGACGAAAGGACATCAAGACGGTGGAGACCACAGCGCAAATGGAGGCCAGCAATAAAACTGTTTACTGCATGGACACTGCAACACTGGCAAAACACAACAGTGGCTGCAATAATGCACTGAAAGATAATGCCAATGGAATAATAACAAATACAAATAATTATTTAAAATTCATAAAGATCTTTTCAGGCATAAGCCTTATTCTGCCTTCAGCTTTGCTCTTGTAAATTCTAAAACAAACAAGCTTTATCATAGCTATAATTACTCATTTTATTTATATAAAATATAAAATGCAATTGCATTTTTCAGATCTTTAGGATTTTGTGCTCTAATATTCCTTAAAATAACTAATTTACTCTCAAATGCTTAAGTTAAAAAGTTCTATGCTAAACTCTATATAAAATCTCTGAAACAAATTAATTAAAATAATATTCATTTAATCTATTTTTGCTCAGTAAACATATTTTTCCAGTGCATTTAGAAAAATAAGAATCTGAACAATGGCAGCAATATGAAGGGAAAAAATAAGAGCAAAAAAAGTGCAGCAAAATAACAAAACAACGATATGCAAATCGCTGACAACGAAGTGAGCAAACAATCCTTGCACCGAATCCTTTTGTCCTGCCAATGCCAATGCAATTGCCAAATTGCCAACGTAATAAGAAACAAGGAAAAGATTGGGGGCAGCCCAAAAATACAAAAAAAAAAGGAGAAAAACCAAGTAGAGAAAACTCCAAGGACATACTACCACTGCAGTAACAGCGATAGAGCAGAAGGAAAACTTGTCTCATTTTTATAGGCAATTTTCAGCAGGATGTGTGGTAGATAGAAAGACCCAAAGTTAGCTTTTGCAAATTTATTAATATTACTATCAACTATTATTCAATTTAAAATCAATAAGAATGAAACTGATCAAAAACTGCCATAACCTGGTAATAATAATATCGAAAGCGTTTCAAAAATGGAAAGTAAATACCAAAAAAATAAAACAAAAAGATCATTTAAGCAAATCAAAGCACACACAAATAACAAATATAAAAAGAGGGGAAAATCCGCACAACCGAATGGCATGAAAAGTAGCTTTTCTTTTGTGATTGAAGGTTAACCCTCAGGGTCGCAGTGTGTAGAGGGGGTAGGAAAATGCCACGAGCGGCTGAGGTTAAAAAATAAAGGGGGGTGAGACGAAACGGTAATATATCGCTTACGGCGGCAATGTCGTGGAAAACGCGACTCAGATTGGCAACAGTTGTATAAACGATGCCAATGTTTACTTCATAATATGCAGAGGGATGAGGAATGATGTCCTTGTTGTTGCTTATCCTGTCCAGAAAGGGAAGATGCTTCAGTATTAAAAAGAAAATATACAGTCACAAAATACAAAATATGGAAAGAGCAGAGTGTAGTTCAATGAAATAATCAGGAAAACAAGGAAAATATAACTAAAGGATGTTTACATTAAGAAATTTCCATTTAACAAATTTTCTTTGTTAACTTTTATAATCTATTCAATAATTTTAGATGGCTGATTGCTAAATGACAGCCTAAATTTTAGTATTTAAACGAAACTCTACTTTCAGAATTAGTTCTTTTCTCATTTAGCTTGAGGAAAGTGAGAGATTCAGGTAACTCTTTGTTCCTTTACCCAAAGGTATATATACATATATATATTCCTCGAGAAAATAAGGATCTTGAGCAAAGGCTCAATTTATTCAAGTTCCTGTGGAACATATACTTTATAAAAGCAAATCCCTCTATGTTTAATTGTGTATTTAAATCCATTCAAGTATAAGATGTACACTTATATAAAGAGATAATCCTTAAGCAGGCTTTGTCGTCGTCATTGTAGTAATTAAATAATCAGTAAGCCAAATCAGTCATCGTAATCGTGGTAAAGAAGGAATCCTTGAACTAGCCTAGTCTTCATCGGTCATTTCGTGTTCATTGTCTGAGGAATCGGACTCCGCACTGGAGGTTTCCACATCACTAGAGTTATCCTCAGTACGTGAAGGAGTCCCACCGCCCTCCCCACGCAGAGCCACTTCTACAAAAGTGAGTGTTTTAGATATTAGCAGAAATTAAAGAGGGAATACTTGCCTGGTTTACCCTCCATTTCATCATCATCGGACGAATCCGATGCTATTGGGAAAGTCATCCTAAAGATCCTAATTTGTTCCTTGATACGAAGAACATCCTCGTCCTCAGAGGACTCATCGGAAGATTCAATTTCAGATTCCTCTTCCTCGGATTCCTCTTTCTCGGCTATTTATACAGAGGAAAGTGTTTTTAGCTGTTTGCAAGAATTTTGGGAGGGACTTGCCTTGGCTCTCTTCCTGATCGTCCTGATGGTCCTGATTTTCTTGATCTTCCTGATCTTCCTGATCGTTCTGATCGTTCTGATTGTTCTGATTGTCCTGATTTTCTTGATCTTCCTGATCTTCCTGATCTTCCTCATCTTCCTGATCTTCCTGATCTTCCTGATCTTCCTGATCTTCCTGACCTGATCTTCCTGATCTTCCTCATCTTCTTCATCTTCTTCATCTTCCTCATTTTCCTCATCTTCCTCATCTTCCTCATCTTCCACATCTTCCTCATCTTCCACATCTCCCTCATCATCCTCATCATCCTGATCGTTCTGATCGTCCTGATTTTCTTGACCTTCCTGATCTTCCTGATCTTCGTTTACATTGTCGGTCAAATTATCACCATCATTTAAGTCCCAGACGTTTCCGTTTACAGTCTCCTTATAGTCATTGGAGTCCCCAAAGAACTCTTGTCCGTCCTCCTCATGATCGGAATGCGTTGGAGATCCAACAGATTCTTCCTCATCGGCTATTTAGGCAGAGAAGAGTGTTTTTAGCTATTAGCAGGAATTTGAGAAAGTACTTGCCTTGATCCTCTTCCTGATCTTCCTCATCTTCCTGATCCTCCTCATCTTCCTGATCATCCTGATCATCCTGATCTTCGTCAGTATTGTCAGAATTATCACTACCATTTAAGTTCAAGTCCTGTCCGTTTACAGTCTCCTCACCAGAGACCTCTTGTCCGTCTTCCTCCTGAGCGGAATTTATTGGAGGAGATCCAACAGATTGTTCCTCTTTGGCTATTCCTACAGAGGAGAGGGTCTTAAGCTATTTGCAGGAATTTGAGAAAGTACTTGCCTTCTAGCTCTCCAAACCCAAAATTCTCATAATTATTTTCAGTAAATAACTCTATTGGAGAGTCTTGGCAGAATAAGTTCTGACCACCATTAGATGAGGAGGACCCAGGAGTTTCAAAGGCAAATGCTAAAGGAGCGAGTGATTTTAGCTACTAAAAGGAATTTAGACTCCTTGGACTTACGTGAGGATTCCTTATCATTGCTCTCACGTGCAATGCGCTTTAATGGATAAGACCTATCCGAGTGGCTGCAAGAAAATTTTGAAGAAACAAATTAGGGCTCATGGGAGGCTTTCACTTTTACTTCACAATTACAAAGGCTACAAATATACAAAAAACTGTCAATGAAAACTGCAAGAAAAACTGCTTTCAGTTGCAGAATGTTCTCGTAGAGGAAACGGCTAATAATTTTCTCCCTGGGCCAAAATACAAACCGAAATAGGAATCGGAATGCTCACCTGCGAATCATGGGGAGCTCTACATTCTCTATATTCAGATCCCCGTTTTCACCCATCTCTTCGTCATGGTTTTCCTTCTTCTGACCACCATTAGATGAGGAGGACCCAGCAGTTTCAAAGGCAAATGCTACAGGGGCGAGTGTTTTTAGCTACTAAAAGGAATTTAGACTCCTTGGACTTACGGGTGGATTCCTTATCATTGCTCTCACGTGCAATGCGCTTTGATGGATAAGACTCATCCGAGTGGCTGCAAGAAAATTTTGCAAAAACGAATTAGGGCTCAATGTGTGACTGTCATTTTGAGAAAGGGTACAAATAATTGTCAACGAAAACAAAAAGAAAAACTGCTCTCAATTGCAGAATGTTCTAGTTGAGGCAGCAGCTAATAATTTTCTTCCTTGGCCAAACTACAAATGGAAATCCACAAAAGTCGTATGAGGGACTGGAATACTCACCTGCGAATCATGGGGAAAGTCATTTTCTTTTCTTCCTTGTTTTCGGCAGAGCCAGAAGCAACCTCGTCTGGGTTGGAAGAAGATTTCTGTAACCCGTCTGACATGGACTCGTCGCGATTGAACTCAACTAGCTTTTCATCAAAATTATCCATTTTCCAAAAATTTGTTTCACAATTTTTAGTTAGATATTTTTTTTTCTTTTTTCTCTCACACTTCCCGTAAGGCCCAACGATTGAATGAAGAAAAATTATTTCGACTTGACGTAGTAACTTCACAAATGTAATATTTATATCGATTGCTTCTAGAGTTGATAAGCTAAACTAAAGCTTTTGTAATGTACAAGTATGATTGTCACTTTTTACTTAATATTGGAAAGTAAGAGCTAAACTTTGCTTTTTATTTGTTTTAAAACAAAACAATAACAAAAGGAGACTACCGCTCTTTATGAGCGCTTTTGCCATCAAGACTTTGTGGTTTTTGTAGTTAAAATTGGTGTTGTTTTGTTCTTGATTTATTATGTTAACAAATCTGCATGAATTTTTAAATTTAGAACTAGGGATTTTATTCACATTAAGATTCCAGGTAGCGGGAAAACTGGGATCCATCACCTGAGGTGCATTACCAGCCAGCGGCAAAGTAGAAACCGAATAAATGAAATTCCGAATGCAACTTGGAAAATCTGCATGTGAAATTGCATTTGTGGAAAAGCAACCATAAAAAAAGAGTGAAAAATGGTTTATAGATTAGAATTGGAATTTCGATGAGCTTAGAAAAAGCCTGTAGCAGGGGGTGGGTGCCTTTTGGAACCAAAAACATTCTACATGAAATTGTTTGTTAACTTTAAAAGACTGCATGAATTTCTTTATCATTTGAATTTGAATAGCTATATATATTTAAATATATTATATATTATATTTACATCTCTTGCTGTGATAGTGTGGAAACCCTATTGAAATATTACCATATATTCCCAATTTTCTGAGATGTCCATAGTCCCGATTAAGTCATTCTTTTCGATGATATTGTTTTCTCTTCTGCTTTTTTTTTTTGAAATATTTGTTTTGCTTTCATTTCATAGTGCATTCGGTCACTTTTTCGATATTTCCTTCAATGTTCCGGCACACAGGCTTTTCCGCCTGCTATGCTGCATCCCTTTTCAGGGTAGCAACTCCCCAGAAAATACCAGAAACATCTGTCACTCTCGATGGCTCATCCTCTGGCATCCCGCCCGCATAGAAAATCGTGTTGAGCGTGTTATCCACTTTTGGACGCTTTTGCCGCTTTTTTCCCCCAGAATTTTCCTCCTAGTTTTTCCCCAACTCCATCCCTCTCCCCTTCTGTTTTCCTCGCTTTGCTTAAAGTCAACGATGCGTTGGTCCTGCAAAAGGATTCCTGCTGTCAGCAGGTGACTGCCCAAGGGGGCGTGCCACATCCGGGGGAGGGGGGAGGGAGGCGAGAGCGGAAGGAGCAGAAGGACACGCTGCACACTCATGTGTGTATTTTCATACAATTCGCTGACTGGCAGCCAACAAAAGGAAAAAAATACAAAAATAAGAGGAAAAACCAAAAAACATGGCGAAAAACAATGGAATAAGCGTACTGTTTTCACTTTTCCCAGATGAACCCTCTCCACTCCACAGGTACATATATACAGATATATATATAGATATATGTATATATATTTGGTATATTCATATAGTTTTATTTCAACTCAATTGTTCGGGCTTTATTTTTGCGGCTGTTTGCGGCAGCCAAAGCGGAAATGCGATTTAAATTATTTGATTTCCATTTTTGTGGAGCGATCTTGTTATTTTTCTTTTGCCCTCGAACGGTTTTGCTTATATTTTTGTGATATTTTTTTCCTGTTTTTCTATATTGTTTGTCTAGGAAAATATAGATATAGCTACAAATATATATATATATCTCTTCATTTCTAGCTTCTTTGTGATTTTATATTTTTTTAAATAACCTTTGCAAGGGGTCTTGTTGATTTTTCATTTAGAGTGTTATTAATTTACTAAATATTTCTAAAAATTTAGCAACGATTAAGTAATGAAAAAGGTGTAAAAATATAGAAAAAAGGTGTTTATATATATACTATATATTTAAATATAGTATTATTTTATATAAACAAAAGTTTGAAAATGTACATAATGCTAAATTTCTTTTGATTGTAAATAACTAGAAAAATGTAATACATTTATTGTATTCTTTTATATTTGCAACTCTCTAAAATATATTTTCTAAAATTAAGAGCATTTGAAAATTCAAAATTTTCACGGCAAGCTTTTACATCTGTTTTCACTTGACTTTGTTTTCCATTTTCCACTTTCGTTGCCTTCTAATGATGGCCACTTCAGTGTTTCCGGTGGGGGGAAAAGCAGCGCAAAGGCAAAAAGGGAAAAGCTAGTAAAGGAGAGCCATCGGCATTGGCAACAGCATCAGCAGCAGCATCAGGACTTGGCCATGAGACAAAGGGGGCGTGGCTAAGGCGGAGTGAAAGGGAGAGAAAAAGAGAGAGAGAGAGACTATGAGAAAGACGAAGGCTTTTGGGGGCTGGACTGGCGTGAATGTAGCTCGTAAATTTGTTAGTTTATTAGCGCAATTTCCGTTGCTAATTAATTTTCAGGCCACACACAGACACACACAAGCGACCAAGGAAAACACTGGAAAAAATTAACTAGAAAATCGCTATAAAAATAAATGAATACATTTAAAATTATTATTATTTGAGATTCTTAGAAGCAGTTAAAAAATATTTTAGAAAAATATACAGGAAGGAAGGAATGTTCTAGATTTTTTTAGAGTTATGAAGAAATTGTTAAAAATATTTTGGGCTTTTGTGGGAACCTAAAACATGTTAAAAATATTTCAAAGCATTCTAGAATTTATTAGGAATATTGTACATATAGTCTTTATATTTTACAATTATTTTTTGCAGTTCACTCAAGGATATGAGAGCAAAAGGGAGGACGACGACGACGATAGCCCTCTCGGTCTGGCACTAGAAGAGATATTAGTGACATGCAGTTTGCACTTTTTAAAATGCCGGAAAGTGGCAGGGGCTCCGGAAAGAAGGATGCATCAAGGATGCTGCGGTTACCAGGATGGAGAGGAGAGGCTGTAATTTTTTTTTGCTTTTGCCGCTTCTTTGCCAGCCAATTCGCTGTGCTGCATATTTCTAATTAATTAAGCTGCCTGCAGCTATGAAGGTAAGGTATATAAATAAATCCAAGTAAATATATAATATATATTTATATATATAGTGTCAGCGAGCACCTAAGTATAGGAATTTTCAATTTCCGGCAAAGTCTTAACCTACAAGAAGGATGCCAACATGTCGTATACGTTATATCCGTGATACTCTTTGGAGAACTTTGGTAAGTGTTTGAAAAATACTTGTTAAAATTCAAAGAAATTTAAATTTAATAAAGGGAATATAGAAACAGAGAAGAGAGTATATGAATATAAACAAAAATTAATCATTATAAAAATTTATTTATTTTTGAATATAAAGAAACACGTACCTGAAGGTACTTTGCTTTTAAATTTTAAAATATAACACCAGCTATAACATATAACTTAAAGAAATAGTTTATTAATATAATAATATAAAATATAAATTTGTATAATTATTTCCAAGCCTCTCTTGACCTTCAATTTGCCAAAGATAATAGTTTTCCAAGAAAAGTAGTTTCTTATCAATCAAGAAAGTGCGGCCTTGTGGCCATGATGTCCTCTTTATTTTAACGTAAAGCCTCTGTAGATTATTTACTTTGTCCTGATTATCCTCTTCATAGAGTATGGTTTCTATATAAAAATAAAAATCAGACTAAAAGCAGCCAACGAAGGCGGCCAGCAACGACGAGCTATAAATTATAATTTCCAAGACATGTTTTCGGCACATGGAGTAGGCGGGGAGGAGGAGGAGTCCAGGGGTCGAGGGGTCGAGGGGTCAACGGTAGATGGTTGGGGGGTTATAAGTGAGGGGTGGGGTGTATGACTTTGACAAGTTTTGATGATGTGTGCCCGGCATCTCCTGCTACCTCCTACCACCGAGCCACCCCATTTCACTTGCTCCCTGATGTAGGCAACATTTTTCAATTAACAAACGAACGAAAAATGTATGACATGCCACCACACATAGACAGACTTGCACAGACATACACACACTCAGACATGAACTGAGAAAAAAAAGAGTAAATTATTAGTAAAATTCGTTTAGATATTTATGTAAAGCTACAAGTTGAGAGGGATTTACCAACAAAGAACAAGCAACTTAAAGATATTTCATTTATTTATTATTGTATATATAATTGTTATTGCTTTAATTTATTTAAATATTATTAAATTGTTGAATATTTCATTATTTAATTCTATATTTTTCAATTAATATTTATTTTTAAATACATTTTTTACCTTATATCCATTTAATTACCTTTTTCTGCCTGTGTTTCGTCACTAATACTCCTATGGAAGCCACTCGACATGGGAAACGGTGCCAGGCACCTCCTTCGTTCCTTTGCCCCCTTCGTTATCCTCTAACACCACTCCCCCCCCTCCTCGTCCCCCTGGTGCCACCTCCTCCTCCCTCCCCCTTGATATACATAATTTTTCATAGGCTTTCAGCCATTTCAGCTTTCCCTCTTGCATTTTCCACCACCGCAGCGCTTCGGAATCGAAGCGCCAAAAACATCCTGTCAAAAGAGTGGCGACCAAAGGGGAAGGGCAGGAAGGTAGAGAGGAGGAGGCACAGGATCAGAGGGTAACTAACTAGCTAACTAACTAACTAACAACAGTCTCATGGTTAGTGTATAGCAGCTCAGAATATCCTAGAAAATAACATATATATGGAGAGGAAAATTTGTTAAATGGAATTTGATAGACAAGTTGAAAATATGATGAGATAATTTGAATTTATTACATTATATGTTTTAACTAAAAAATTAAGGAAAATATTACTACAAACGTATTACTACATATTTTTAATTCCAAGTAATATTTTCCTTAATTTATAAGCTAAATGAATAAATCTTTGCCTAGTAATACTGCTTGAGACTTAACTAGGGTACTAAAAGGGCAGATTAGGTAGGTATGTCTAAGTATCCATAAATATATATATATAGATAGATATATATATATATATAGATATATATTTATATATATATATATACATGGCCAGATGTGTGTGG